TGGACGGCACAGGATGGTTATGTGCTCCAGATGTGGTGAGCAGGAGTTGGAGAGAGTTTTAATGTTTTGTGGGTTACACCAGCTGTTGTTGGTCATAAAACAAACCCCTCCACCCTTTGACTTGCCAGATTCATCCGTCCTGTCCTTGCGAAACACAGAGAACGAGTCCTATGGCATGATGGCTTGATCCGGCACCACAGGAGTGAGCCATGTTTCCGTCAGGCAGATGATGTTACAATCCCTTATGTCCCATTGGTATTTTACCTGACCCCTCAGATCATCCATCTTGTTATCCAGGGACTGGACGTTGGCAAGAAGGATGCTTGGCAGGGGTGGGCCTGAGTTCTTAGCCTGTTTCGGACACCACCTCGTCTTCCGCGGTGCTTTTTCCTCCTCCGGCCATTGTTCCCGTCCTGTGTTGTGTTACGCGGGAGTTCGACCGGCAACCACTGATCATCGTTGGAAACTGTGTTTGTGACCAGTCTCTTTATGTTCAAAAGCCTATTTCTGTCATAAGTTATCTTTGCTGAAAGAGCTGATGTAAAAAAGTTCACAAAAACAACATAAATAAAGAAACTGTCCACAGACTCCATGACTTCACAGGGTTCAATAGAAAACAAATGTCTCATAATAAATACTAAATAATTATTTTTCAGTTGTCATGTTCACCTCATTGCTGTTGACATCAGTAAATATAAGACACAGACATTCCTCTTTTTGTCAGAACAGTAACATGAACTGTAAGCTTTGTAATATTGATTTCTTCTGGATGTCTCATATTTATTTACAGTCTCTGGATAAAACTTTGTTAATGTATTTCTCTGCTAACAACGATAAAGTCTAACTGCTCTGACAAATAACTAATAACCATAGTTGTATATTTAAAAAAGTGTAGTTTTAAGACTTTAATTAAATATTTGGGTTAAATATAATTAGTTTTAACAGTGTTGTAGAAAAGTTAAATGTTAACTTACTATTTATAGAGTTTTCTCAGGACGAGCAGGATCGAGCTGGATGGGCGGAGTTAAGTCCCGCCTTACTGCTGTCGCTAGGTTGATCTGAAGTTAGGTTGAGACTGCAAATCCAATATGGATGCGGCCCTCGATTGGACTCATTTGCTGCCTATGTAACAGACGGGTCAGGGTTCGTCCAGTAATATTTACAGTCTATGGTGTACACGTGTAACCGGTTAATTTTTAAATTGTATTATTATTTTAAAATGTTTTAGAGACACGCATTCAAGCATTTCTGATCAAAAATAACACATACTATTTATTTAGAGATGAATAAAGCTACAAATGTTCCACTTTGACAACGTTACTGCACTCACAAATGCACCTGATAAATGTTGGATAACTGAGCACCGGGCATTACGTCACGGAACAAGAAAGTTTCACTTTTGATTTGCGATTGCAGCCAAGACTACTCAGCGAAGTGTGGCGTGGAGGAGCCGCACTGCTGGGGATTGACTCTGGTTCCGGGCGATTGTTTGGACGTGCCTGTGCGGGTTCTGGCTTTCCATGTCGCCCTTTCGCAGCGGCGGTAACCGGTTGAACGTAAGTCCGTGAGCCTCTCTCAGGGGGGTATTGAACCACACTCCTTTCCCTTACTGCCCTTCCGCCTTTCCGCTTCGCCCGGGTAGGGGGGGTTGCGCAGTCCCGAGGGTCAGGCCCATTCGACTACGAGACAACCCGCTGAATTTAAGCATATTGACGTGGTCAGGGCTCACAGGGGAGACTTATTTATCTGCTCCGTCACTTCACTGGGGTGCAGCAAGGTGTGAACAGACACGGAGAGTCCGGCTTGTTATTTTGAGGTACCGGGCCGTTTATTACGCTCGCAGAGCTTGAACTTTACACTTAACATCATGACTCTGATTTCTTCTGCTTATTCTGCTCCGGTCCCCGACACACACACACACACACACACACACACACACACACACACACACACACACACACACATTCACAGACATACGCTGCTCGTATAACTTCTATGGCAAGTTTTCTGTGTTACTTATATAGCCTACATTAGAAAGCACAATTGTATCTGTCTGACAACTTTGAGTGGCAGCAGTGATGCGGACGAATCTTTCTGAAAGTGACTTGCAATTAAAATATTTGTGTAATCATGTAAATAATTGGTCTTGTACTTTTCTTATCATCAGTCCTTTTGTTTACAGTTCACTGGTTTTCTTTCTCACTGATCACACTTTTGCTCTCTATGTCAGCTTTCTCCTTTGCGCTGCCTGACTTTTTGCTTGAGATTCTGGCACAAACCTCTGGAGTGGGTGGGCTTTATGAGGAATGCGTCCCCATTGGCTAATGAGTTTTTGAGTGACAGCTCAATGCCCCGGACGTTCCAGGTGTTTTTACTGACAGTGAAAAGGTTCAAAGGTTTTAAACACAATCAAAGACATCTGATCACCCTATCAGAAAAAGCAGCATAACTAGTTGTAAACTAGATATGGATATTCTAGCTGAATATCCTTTTAGGACCAACAAAACAACTTCTGAAAGAGCGGAACAAATCCATTTCGCCTAAAGACTCTGCGCAGCTCCACTGCTGCTCACCTGTTGTCTTGAAAAACTGCACTTAAAGTTTACTTATAAGTCTAAACATTAGCTCAGACCTTTTTTCAAGAGTGTATCTTCCTCATTATGTCAAAACGTGCATTTTCAGATAAAGGTGGGTCCGCGGACCACACTTGAGAGGGAGAGAGAGAGAGAGAGAGAGAGAGCTATACGGGCGAGCGAGAGTCCGGGAATGTACCATTGCACATGTAAGTGGATGGACAAGAAACAAAAAGTTAAATTGATCATTACTGTACAGTTTACATGTCAACCTGTGAACGGCAGACTGCAGTCTCTGCTGTTAACAGACAGAGGCCGTCTAAACTGCTCAATGTGCTCTGAGTGCTCCTCTGTCTGCATCTCCACGTCACCCTCCCTGCTTTTTAAAAATATCAACTGGTCATAAACCACGTCTGAACGTTTTATTTTGAAATGTTCTTAAACCGTCTGAGCTGCTGTTAATACTCTAAATATTTATAATACTGAACATTACAATCAATTGATAAAATATGCTTTTGCGCAGCAAATAGTATGATGTCATCAAATAGAAGCATGTTGTGGAGGAATGATCCAAATGTGGACAAGAGGCTGGAGAGGAGTGATAATCATAACTGAAAGAGGAGTAGGAACAGTATGCCTGCTTGAGGGTCTCTATGGGCCAAGCCTAAAGCCATTTAACTTCCATGGGCATTGGATTTTATGTTTTGACAATTTGTGCACTACAAGAGCACAACATTGTTAGAAGATGACAAAGTTTTTCATACATTTAACCTCTTAATTTTGCACAAAATTGATGCATCATACTTTAAAATGTATACATTTTTCTCCCCCCTATAGGGTTCGGTGTCCCCCCACCATAGTCTCATTAAATGCTGTGGTAAACACTGTACATAGTGCACCTTTAAAGCATGTAACGTTAATGGTTGTGTAACGGCTTGACAGAGTTAACATTAGCTCTGCCGCCACCATTCTGGCTCTGGCTAGCTCCCTAATATGTTTATCAAGACCAGAGGTCCATCCCCCATCAAATCCATACGTACATGAATGTTCCTCCACCTGTAGTGCACTGGTTATTGATCAGCCGTATAGCCTAGCTTCAAGGGGCCAAGTGTAATTCATGTTTTTTGCTCTCTGGAAAACTAATGACAAGTCCAGTGAGAGTCTAACCTGTAATCTTTTTAATTATTGGTAAACAATGTTTTACTGATACAACACTTAGTATTCAGAATAAAAAGACAGATTTTTATGTTTAATATATTTTAAATGAATAATTAAGATAAATAATAAACACCTACGTTGTTATATAAGTACCATTAACTATCAGTGCAGATAATAAGCCTGCGTTTATGAGAGCTTTCTACCACTTTTAACTTGTTCTTTTTTTGTTTCTCTTGTGCTCAGGACAATCACCCTCCACTGGCACCAAACAGCAGATGGAGTTTTTCTTCAGTTTATTCTTCATTTTGAGGCCTCTGTGTAAGTGTCTCTGTCTCTGATAAACAGTCTGTGTGTGATGTGGTCCAGGAAAATCATTTTAACTTACTGTGCATTCAATGTCTTCTTTGTCAAAGCCTGGATAGGACACTTTGGTGAGAGAGAGGTAGAGTACTTGGAGATAGGCAGGGGTCCTTTCTTATGGTCATTAGATCTGAATAATGATTGGACAGATTAATAAAAACCTGCAACAACCACTGATTGAGAAACCATTCTACAAACATTGTCATAAGAAATAAATATGCATGAGGAAAAGTGAAATTTGTATTTTTGTATTTTAATTTACCCAGTCCTTTGTTCTACAGATCATTGAAGGAGGCTTTGTGTGCAGAAGTGAGGACAAATGGCTTGTTCAACAGAGTCTGCCCGAGATTACGTCGACTCTGTCAGATGCCACCTTGTGAGAGAATTAAAGAATCTCGGGGTCTCTGTGATTGTGGAGAACTTAAATGAGCATGGAGTTTTCCATGATGAAGAGGTCAGTAACATAAAGGCAGAAAGGACTGACTATGACAAATCAAGAACAATACTGGACAAAGTCTATAAGAAGGGGGAAGCAGCCTGCTACAAGCTCCTTCAGGTTATTGACATGATTTGTAGGAGGACCTCTGGAAGGATATCTTATCTCTCTGAGGAAATGACTGAAGCTGGGACTAAAGAGTTTGACCTGCTCTTCTGGATCAGCAGCTTTCCTTTCAGGGAAGACACAGAAATGGAGATAAACTACTCACAAGGTATTTTGAGGCAGAATTGTGATTGATAGTAAATGATGTATTTACATTTACTTCCTGTAAAGAACTTGAATTTGCCCCTGTTCGAATATGTGACTTCTGGGGCATGATTTATTTATTCACTCCCTGTGTTTCTTCTTTTTCAGGCCCGAGATCATGCCACAGATATAAAGCAAAGTTAAAGTCAAAAGCACAAGACAGATCAAAGGAATTTTGGATGAGAAACAAAAATCTGTTTGAAGAAGTCTGCAGGCCTGATCTGTCATACAGTTCACTTGTATTAGACACACAAGGAAGAGTTTCTTCATCCAAAATAAAGAAAGGTAAGAGGAAAAAGGGCAAAATGAGTCGCCCCAAAAAGCTCAAGACATACATTCCAGAGGACAGACAAGAAATCTCTCCCAGTGACCTGCTGAAAACAAATAAAAACATCCTCCTCGTTGGGAAGCCTGGAATTGGAAAGACAGCACTGAGTCATGAAATTTTAAAACTCTGGGCAGAAAGAGACAGCAGGGAGCTTGAATACATGTTTTACTTTGACATGAGGGAAAGATCTCTCGTCAGAGATGGGATGAGCTTGGAGGAACTTCTTTTCAGTGCATACAGTGAACCAGATGAAGACAAAGAAGAAGTCTTTCAGGACATAAAGAAGTATTCTGACAACGTTACAGTTGTTTTTGATGGAATCACAGATCTCTCTTCTTCAGTGGTGCGTAGAATTGTAGAGAAGGACCTCCTTCCTAATGCCAAGGTCATCATAACCTGCAGACCAGATGACGAAGACTTATTTTCTGGAGACTTTGACAGAGTGGAAGTGAAAGGCTTCAGTGAGCAGACCATTGAAAAATACTTCTCTGCGATGCTTGGCATGGAACAGAAGAAGGTTCTCAGCAACCTGGAGTTGTTAACTCTTTGCCATGTCCCGATGTATGCACTGATGGTGGCGGTCTGTTTTTTATATGAGACACCAGAAGACTCACCACAGCCATGCAGTATGACTGAAATATACATCAACATTGTTCATTTTTGTCTTCAAACAAGCAGCAACAAAAAACATAAAAATCTCAATACCTTAATCAAGCAGAAGAGTGCAGATCTACTGACGTTGGCGGAGGCTGCTTTTCATGCAACTGAAGAAAAAACTGTGAGCTTGACCGACCTGCACTGTGAAGACAGCTGTGTCCTTTCCTTCCTGAAACCACTTGTTATCAAAGTGGCTCCCATTGAGACAACAACAACATACGCTTTTCTCCATTACACAATGCAGGAGTTCTTTGCAGCAATGTGGCTCTTGAAGAATCCAGATAAGATTAAGGAGGTTTTTCAGCAATGCCTCACGGAGGAGAGGAAGCACATGAAACATATGATCCCTTTCATGTGTAGATTGTTGACTAAGAAGAGCCCAAGTTTGATGGAGCATCTGATTCCAGCTCAGGAGTTAAAAAAGACATCTAACTTGTTCTTTAAGGAAATGATAAGCACATTTTTCTCTGGTCAGTGTATGGAGGAAGAGGCTCATACTGAGGACACTGGGCTTGATGTGGGCATACTGTTCTTATGCCAATGCTTGTTTGAGTCGCAGTGTCCTGACACATGCACCAGCTTTCTGGAAAAACTGGAGTACCAACTTGATCTCAGCAGTGAGAGTCTTGATTCCTATCTTTGCTGTGCTGTGGCCTATGTGGTCTCTCAGTCAAAGGAGAGGAAAATACAGCTGAACCTTGAAGATGTTTCTGTATCAGCACAAGGAATGAGCTGTCTGTATGGATGCCTTTTCAAGGTCCAGTGGTATGTGTTAAACATGTCAAAATGCTGCTCAGTTTACAACATGTCTTATATAGCAGATTTAATAATAGACTGTATCGAGTAGAAATGTATGTAGGAATGAAAAACAGTGTTTTCTTCTCTTCTCCTTTATAATGTGGAAATGATCTCTGATTATTCTTTATTTGACAGGTGTGACCCTCTGCCCAAACAGCTGTGGGAAATTGTTCTTCTAAGTGAAGAAAAGTTGATTGACCTCAGGTTACTCGACCTTGATGGAAATCAGTTACACCTTCTCAAACAGCTGTTTGAAAGAGCAGCGTATGTCATACAGAATAATCCCAGGAAGATAAATGTCTGCCTTCACTGGGACAATAGAGCAACTACTGCCTGCCAAAGTCTGTGTGGGTCCCTCCTGGAGGTTTTGTCAGACATCAGGTCACTCAGGTGTGTAGCTGTTTTAGTTTTTTTATCCAACATACCAAAATAAAATCCTCCTTTTTGTGTTACAAAGAGCAGGATAAAAGAAACAAACTGAACATGTAGAGAGGAAATGGAGCCTGTGTCCTAATGATGACCTTGTTCTTCCTTTAATCCTTTCATTGTAGATTTAATTTGTTTACAGAAGCTAAACCAAATCTAGAATTATTAAAACAGACGACTTAAAGACTCAAGACGCCTTAAGGCCCCTGTGTCCACCTTGCGTCTTTTGAGATAGAAAAACATTTGCTGTGCGCTCGGGATCTCTGGAGGAGACAAGAGCTCAGATCAGACACGGACTGAGGAGGATGTGGGTACACAGTGCCTCCAGGAAAGTTCAAATATTTTCCGCTCGGAGCTGTTGCACAAAAAGGCGGGCGATGTGGTTTTTCTCCAGTCGTCCGCCTGCTGCTGCAAACACTCTCTCCAAATTGGGAACAATTGAAAAAAGAGGCTGGCAAAAAAACGTGAGGTGGACACAAGGCTTAAGCACTTAAAGTACTTATACAGTCGATGCATTGTCATTGCATTCATAAATCGCTTTATTATCATGAAGCTTCAGGATGGCCCACCAAGATCCAGAACAAGAAGACCAGGAGCCAGGCCATGGGACACTAGAGAGAAGGAAAAAGAAGCTGTTACTGGATTTATGCCTGCAAGCAGCACTTGACAAAGAAGAGAGCTTTCACCATGTTGTGTCTCAGCTCGTCTCTTTGTTTTCTGTTGACAAACACTTGCATAACTTTTTTGTTGATTTGTATCAACATGTCAAGAGTGAAGGGTGTTTAAGTGTTATTCCAAAACTGGGTCAACTTTTTGAGTCAGCTGCTGGTGTCTGGTCCATAAACCTGTCAGAGATCAACACCTCCATCCTCCTGGAAGTGCTGAGACTCCGTCCAGAGAAGACTCCAGTGAAGCTGACGGGCTGTCCAGATGAAGAGAGTGAAGTGAGGAGCTTCCTTCAATGTCTGCCTCATATCTCACAGCTCAGGTAAATGGTTATTTCTGTGATTTTCCTGTTTTCACTTGTGTACATGGTCAAAGTTAATAATTACTCAGAATTATGAAACATTTCACACAAACATTTGGTGTTTTTAAGGCCTGCTTAATGACCCATGAGGGATGATTGATGTGAAGCAGCTTGTACAAAGAAAAGTCTCGTCATTATCCGAGTCAGTGTCGCTGAGCGCCGTGTACAACCAGTATGGATCAACCAATTAACCAATTGATCCATATATAAGGCGCTCCGGATTATAAGGCGCACTGTCGTTTTTTGAGAAAATTAAAGGCTTTTAAGTGCGCCTTATAGTGCGGAAAATACGGGAATAAAAACCTTCTTGTACTTAAAAACAAATACTTCTTACTCCACTGAATATATAGAAAATCTTGAGTTTCTTTGCCTGTTACCTATCAGATTCAGATTTATAATGCAAAATAGGATGAATACACTATTTGTCAAAATATCTTTACGTATGTGCCCAGGGAATTCTCAAGGTATCCAACTACAGGTATGTAAATAAATAAATAAAAACAATTTACATTACTCAAATAGGATAAGCTTCAGCTGTAGCAGTTACAGCGAAACGAGGAACACATTAATGCATCAAAAAAAATGAATAATATAATTAATATTCAGTAAAAGGTCAATATTTCCAAAGTAACTATTTTTCCTTTGTTACTCCAGACTAAAGTCTGATGAGTTTGTACTCTAACTTCTGTAACTGGTTAGAGTATGTTAGGTATTTCTGTTTGGTTACTACTTTAGGCTGCTAAAGGTCTAGATCTTGAGCTTTCTAAAAAGAAAAACGTGTCAGTTTTAATCCTTAGATAGAAAACATCTATTCAAATTGGTTATTTGTTACATGTTTTATACCTTGAGAATTTTCAGTCAAAATCATGTTTTTTTGCTTTAATCCCTGTGTTCCCAAAAGCGGTGCCATATGCTACATTGAAGCTATAGAACCCGGCGGTACGTGGATGGGCCACGCCGGACAGTTCTCAGTGAGAGTAGCGGCCCGCCACAAGGACCAAGAGGTTGCAGTTCCCCCGTGTGGAGTGTGGTCTTACAAACATAAAATAAAAGAGAGTTACAAGCTGCTGTGGGAGTGTTCCCTTAACTCTGCCTCTTGGGTATGGTTCTTGCATCCTGCTGGTCCTTACCCTGGTTGGCATGTCAACATTGCACATTGGTGTATTGGATTGTGGGCTGCTGTCTCGCGGGGTGTCTTAAAGAGTTACCCTGGTTACATTGTAACCTTGGTTCTCTGACTGAAGAGACTATCTCTCCAGCCTCTAGGCCGCTCGCTGAAAGGTTCCAATCAAACTGTCAGTGATTACACATCAGCACAGGTGCTTTATAGATGAGCTGTGGGACGTGACCGGGCGAGCCAGAGTGTCCTAAAGTAATATCCACAGACTATGATGAGCAGGGGATCATATCCTGTGTATGTTATGTAACAGAGTGGAGAGATAGTCTCTTCACTCAGAGAACCAAGGTTACAGTGTAACCCTACGTTTCATTGCTGATGTTGACATAACAAATTTATTTTCCGAAGTAATTAAAGTTTTTTTTTTTTATCATGAAGCTTCAGGATGACCCACCAAGATCCAGAACAAGAAGACCAGGAGCCAGACCATGGGACCCTAGAGAGAAGGAAAAAGAAGCTGTTACTGGATTTATGCCTGCAAGCAGCACTTGACAAAGAAGAGAGCTTTCACCATGTTGTGTCTCAGCTCGTCTCTTTGTTTTCTGTTGACAAACACTTGCATAACTTTTTTGTTGATTTGTATCAACATGTCAAGAGTGAAGGGTGTTTAAGTGTTATTCCAAAACTGGGTCAACTTTTTGAGTCAGCTGCTGATGTCTGGTCCATAAACCTGTCAGAGATCAACACCTCCATGCTCCTGGAAGTGCTGAAACTCAGATCAGAGAAGACTCCAGTGAAGCTTACCGGCTGCTTTGATGAAGAGAGTGAAGTGAGGAGCTTCCTTCAATGTCTGCCTCATATCTCACAGCTCAGGTAAATGGTTATTTCTGTGATTTTCCTGTTTTCACTTGTGTACATGGTCAAAGTTAATAATTACTCAGAATTATGAAACATTTCACACAAACATTTGGTGTTTTTAAGGCCTGCTTAATGACCCATGAGGGATGATTGATGTGAAGCAGCTTGTACAAAGAAAACTTAAAGATTTGGATAGTGGATAAGGAAAGGTCTAACAACACGTCTGTAATTTGTTTACAAAGGGAACTTACTAAATTTAAAATCTGCTGGACAAACACAGCCAAGAGCAGAATGACTTTTTCATGATTTGAATCAGAGGTGCTGATTATATATTTATTCACAGCAGAATATGAGTTTCATAAAACCTTCACATCAGTCTGTAGTTCATTACTGAATAAGGCCTTATCAACAGGATCTAGCCTACGCCGCAACCGTGCCGGAGCACGACACATCAATTTAGCACAGAAAAGAACAAACAGGACAGAAAGTCCGGAGCGGACACGCAATGCACACGTATCTGGTGGCAGTTCAGGTCCGATAGCTTTCTACCGATAACGTTGGCTGATAAAAAAACGTAGGTTACTACTCGTCCTGATTGGTCAGCTGTCAGAAAGGCCAACCATTCATTCCAACCATTCATGACACTTGGTGTAAAAATATGAACATGAAGTTGTTTATTTTGTGATACTTTTACAAACACAGCTGATAAAACAAAGACACAGAGAAAAAGTGCCAGCAATGAAGTTACACAAAAAGATGAAATATTGGAACAATTTAAAAATTAAAGTTATAATTAAAAAGTAATGCTCTGCTAACACAACTTTAACTTTCATTTCAGTTTCTCTGAGGGGGTTAAAAGAGGAGTCGAGTTGTGTGGACGTCTGTTCTGTGCAGCAGCAGAGAGAGAACAGCAGACAGGAGAGAACACAGTGCAGCTGTTATCATCAGTGTGCACATATGAAGCATTCTCCTACCTTGACGAGCCGGATTTCTTTCTGGAGCTGTACTCCCACATGAAGGACTGTGAGACTAAAACAGGCTTGAGAGTTCTTCCATCATTACAGTCAGTTTTCCAGTCAGCTCCTGCTGTCTGGTACATTGACCTCTCGAAGAGAAAGACCTCCATCCTCCTGGAAGTGCTGAGACTCCGTCCAGAGAAGACTCCAGTGGAGCTGACGGGCTGTCCAGATGAAGAGAGTGAAGTGAGGAGCTTCCTTCAGTGTCTGCCTCATATCTCACAGCTCAGGTAAATGAATTACTCTTCACACCACAGTGTACACCTGTTAAGGTTTGCTCCTCCATCTGAATCCTCTCACTGTAAGATTGAATTATCCAATAACACTTGGTTACATTGTAACCTTGGTTCTCTGAGTGAAGAGGTTGTCCCTTCACCAAACATATTTCCAATATGGGAATTGATTCCATTTAAGGACATCTGACTTGAACATTCCTTTTAAAGATACAACTTCCATGGCTGCATGTGAGGGTATAACAGGCCCCAGTGATTTACATTGTTTGAAACCGTACTCGAGTGGCGTCTTTGCGAAGGGACAACCTCTTCACTCAGAGAACCAATGTTACAATGTCACCAAGCGTTCTCTATTGTATCAAGGTTGTCCCTACACCAAACATATTTCCAACATGGTACTCTTTAAGACACCCCATGAGGAGAACGAGGAGACAAGAGCAGAAACTGCCTCAAGACACCCACTGGTCCCCAGCTCTGATATTTGAATGAGACGTCACCATATACACATTATCCCTCACTGCCAAGTGACATCGCCACTCGCCACTTGTCACTGCCTGATGTTTGGGGGCCAGACGCGCCCCAAACATGTCCAACCCTGCCAGATGCAAGTGATCGGACTTGAAGGATAATTGTCACTCAGGCGACGTGCCTTTTGGCAGGCCATCTGACAGGGGTACAAACCATCCCCTTTGTTGGGGTCTCAAGGGCCCCTGTGTCAAAGGTCTCAGTGATCATGTTATTATGATGCAGCTGCCCTCAGCACTTGTTCCCAGGGATTGAAGTTCTCAGTCGCTGTGACGGATTTCCGTCAATTTCACAATTGGAATAATTTTAGTCAGTATCAATCAGATAAAAAAAGTCGAGCAGAATGAGGGTTAGTGACATACCTTCACGAGCAAACTGCTGATGGTAATGTCAGGCATTTATCTGAACCCTGTAACACAAGTGTAGTTCTGCATTTGTGTGGCATTTCAAATGTACAGTGAGAACTTTTATCTGCTACATGAAGTCCGACCAAGTGAAATACTTTACAATGATAATCCGTAACATGACAGAGTTTACTGTCAGTCAAGTTTCATTACCGGGCAAACAGTGGCCGAGTGCTCCACTACCGGACACACTCCTTTAGGAACACGTGTCAAGACAACAGGTGATACAACACATTACCCACACAGAGCACTGCAACATGAATCATCTTTAAACTGGACCGTTTGACAACACAATTCTTAAATGTTATATTAGCTTAACAGCTAACACTAGTTTACTTTGTTACATTTAACGACTGAGTGGGTGGAAGTTATTAAGTACAATACATACGTTCTGAACAAATCTAATAAAAACCTTCTTGTACTTAAAAACAAATACTTCTTACTCCACTGAATATATAGAAAATCTTGAGTTTCTTTGCCTGTTACCTATCAGATTCAGATTTATAATGCAAAATAGGATGAATACACTATTTGTCAAAATATCTTTACGTATGTGCCCAGGGAATTCTCAAGGTATCCAACTACAGGTATGTAAATAAATAAATAAAAACAATTTACATTACTCAAATAGGATAAGCTTCAGCTGTAGCAGTTACAGCGAAACGAGGAACACATTAATGCATCAAAAAAAATGAATAATATAATTAATATTCAGTAAAAGGTCAATATTTCCAAAGTAACTATTTTTCCTTTGTTACTCCAGACTAAAGTCTGATGAGTTTGTACTCTAACTTCTGTAACTGGTTAGAGTATGTTAGGTATTTCTGTTTGGTTACTACTTTAGGCTGCTAAAGGTCTAGATCTTGAGCTTTCTAAAAAGAAAAACGTGTCAGTTTTAATCCTTAGATAGAAAACATCTATTCAAATTGGTTATTTGTTACATGTTTTATACCTTGAGAATTTTCAGTCAAAATCATGTTTTTTTGCTTTAATCCCTGTGTTCCCCAAAAGCGGTGCCATATGCTACATTGAAGCTATAGAACCCGGCGGTACGTGGATGGGCCACGCCGGACAGTTCTCAGTGAGAGTAGCGGCCCGCCACAAGGACCAAGAGGTTGCAGTTCCCCCGTGTGGAGTGTGGTCTTACAAACATAAAATAAAAGAGAGTTACAAGCTGCTGTGGGAGTGTTCCCTTAACTCTGCCTCTTGGGTATGGTTCTTGCATCCTGCTGGTCCTTACCCTGGTTGGCATGTCAACATTGCACATTGGTGTATTGGATTGTGGGCTGCTGTCTCGCGGGGTGTCTTAAAGAGTTACCCTGGTTACATTGTAACCTTGGTTCTCTGACTGAAGAGACTATCTCTCCAGCCTCTAGGCCGCTCGCTGAAAGGTTCCAATCAAACTGTCAGTGATTACACATCAGCACAGGTGCTTTATAGATGAGCTGTGGGACGTGACCGGGCGAGCCAGAGTGTCCTAAAGTAATATCCACAGACTATGATGAGCAGGGGATCATATCCTGTGTATGTTATGTAACAGAGTGGAGAGATAGTCTCTTCACTCAGAGAACCAAGGTTACAGTGTAACCCTACGTTTCATTGCTGATGTTGACATAACAAATTTATTTTCCGAAGTAATTAAAGTTTTTTTTTTTATCATGAAGCTTCAGGATGACCCACCAAGATCCAGAACAAGAAGACCAGGAGCCAGACCATGGGACCCTAGAGAGAAGGAAAAAGAAGCTGTTACTGGATTTATGCCTGCAAGCAGCACTTGACAAAGAAGAGAGCTTTCACCATGTTGTGTCTCAGCTCGTCTCTTTGTTTTCTGTTGACAAACACTTGCATAACTTTTTTGTTGATTTGTATCAACATGTCAAGAGTGAAGGGTGTTTAAGTGTTATTCCAAAACTGGGTCAACTTTTTGAGTCAGCTGCTGGTGTCTGGTCCATAAACCTGTCAGAGATCAACACCTCCATGCTCCTGGAAGTGCTGAGACTCAGATCAGAGAAGACTCCAGTGGAGCTGACAGGCTGTCCAGATGAAGAGAGTGAAGTGAGGAGCTTCCTTCAGTGTCTGCCTCATATCTCACAGCTCAGGTAAATGGTTATTTCTGTGATTTTCCTGTTTTCACTTGTGTACATGGTCAAAGTTAATAATTACTCAGAATTATGAAACATTTCACACAAACATTTGGTGTTTTTAAGGCCTGCTTAATGACCCATGAGGGATGATTGATGTGAAGCAGCTTGTACAAAGAAAACTTAAAGATTTGGATAATGGATAAGGAAAGGTCTAACAACACGTCTGTAATTTGTTTACAAAGGGAACTTACTAAATTTAAAATCTGCTGGACAAACACAGCCAAGAGCAGAATGACTTTTTCATGATTTGAATCAGAGGTGCTGATTATATATTTATTCACAGCAGAATATGAGTTTCATAAAACCTTCACATCAGTCTGTAGTTCATTACTGAATAAGGCCTTATCAACAGGATCTAGCCTACGCCGCAACCGTGCCGGAGCACGACGCATCAATTTAGCACAGAAAAGAACAAACAGGACAGAAAGTCCGGAGCGGACACGCAATGCACACGTATCTGGTGGCAGTTCAGGTCCGATAGCTTTCTACCGATAACGTTGGCTGATAAAAAACGTAGGTTACTACTCGTCCTGATTGGTCAGCTGTCAGAAAGGCCAACCATTCATTCCAACCATTCATGACACTTGGTGTAAAAATATGAACATGATGTTGTTTATTTTGTGATACTTTTACAAACACAGCTGATAAAACAAAGACACAGAGAAAAAGTGCCAGCAATGAAGTTACACAAAAAGATGAAATATTGGAACAATTTAAAAATTAAAGTTATAATTAAAAAGTAATGCTCTGCTCACACAACTTTAACTTTCATTTCAGTTTCTCTGAGGGGTTTAAAAGAGAAGTCGAGTTGTGTGGACGTCTGTTCTGTGCAGCAGCAGAGAGAGAACAGCAGACAGGAGAGAACACAGTGCAGCTGTTATCATCAGTGTGCAGATATGAAGCATTCTCCTACCTTGACGAGCCGGATTTCCTTCTGGATCTGTACTCCCACATGAAGGACTATGAGACTAAAACAGGCTTGAGAGTTCTTCCATCAGTACAGTCAGTTTTCCAGTCAGCTCCTGATGTCTGGTACATTGACCTCTCAAAGAGAAAGACCTCCATCCTCCTGGAAGTGCTGAGACTTCGTCCAGAGAAGACTCCAGTGGAGCTGACGGGCTGTCCAGATGAAGAGAGTGAAGTGAGGAGCTTCCTTCAGTGTCTGCCTCATATCTCACAGCTCAGGTAAATGAATTACTCTTCACACCACAGTGTACACCTGTTAAGGTTTGCTCCTCCATCTGAATCCTCTCACTGTAAGATTGAATTATCCAATAACACATGATGATGAAATGTGTAACATACTCCCAGAAATCCTAATTTAGCTGAACAACTGCTTTCTGAAGTTTTTAAAAATATAGAATGAAACAGGTCCAAACTTGTGATGGTCTATTTCAGTCTTTGGAGCTAATTGATGATGAATTATTTACCAGTAAATAAACAGCTGCTGAATTAGAGGTTTGAAAGATATTCATTTTGAAGAGTGAACGAGATGATTCAATAACAGCATGAAAAACAATCTGTATTAACCAATCAAATCAATAAATGTACCACATGAAGGCTCAATAGTTTAAAAGAAAGAAGACTAAAGAGTAAATATGTTTATAAGATGTCAAATGAATCCTGATGATTAAAAAGATTATCATCAGGCTGTGATAAATAAATGTAAAGAAAACAATGACACACCTTTTCTTTTTGGACTTTAGTGAGTTTCAAAGTTGTCGTCCAGTATTCCAGTGTTTGGAACGGATTGATTTCTGAATATTTGAGTTGAAGGTTTCCTTAAAGTCACTCTGTTGGTTTATGAGCTGAATCCATGTCATAACATAACATCTCATTAGACAGAGTTTAAGAAACAACTCTGTATTTGACCTTTCTGAGTCCTCCAACACTTTTGAAAGAATTACATTTAGTGAAAGTTTAGAGAAATCTACATTTGATCTTCTTTATTGCATCATTATTTGTGTGTAGATTACCAAAGTGTTTTGTTTTCTGCTCATTTGTGTTTATTTGTAAGCTTTGAGTAGATACACTCTGTCAGTAATTCATGTCTCGTTTCTGATGCTGACTTAACAAAGTTTTCAACTTTCATTTCAGTTTCTTTGAGGGGTTTAAAAGAGAAGTCGAGTTGTGTGGACGTCTGTTCTGTGCAGCAGCAGAGAGAGAACAGCAGACAGGAGAGAACACACTGCAGCTGTTATCATCACTCTGCACATATGAAACATTTCCTATCAGTGGCCGATACATTCATGATGACACCAAGAAACATCAGTGTTTATTCCTTCTGGATCTGTACTCCCACATGAAGGACTGTGAGACTAAAACAGGCTTGAGAGTTCTTCCATCATTACAGTCAGTTTTCCAGTCAGCTCCTGATGTCTGGTACATTGACCTCTCAAAGAGAAAGACCTCCATCCTCCTGGAAGTGCTGAGACTCCGTCCAGAGAAGACTCCAGTGGAGCTGACGGGCTGTCCAGATGAAGAGAGTGAAGTGAGGAGCTTCCTTCAGTGTCTGCCTCATATCTCACAGCTCAGGTAAATGAATTACTCTTCACACCACAGTGTACACCTGTTAAGGTTTGCTCCTCCATCTGAATCCTGTCACTGTAAGATTGAATTATCCAATAACACATGATGATGAAATGTGTAACATACTCCCAGAAATCCTAATTTAGCTGAACAACTGCTTTCTGAAGTTTTTAAAAATATAGAATGAAACAGGTCCAAACTTGTGATGGTCTATTTCAGTCTTTGGAGCTAATTGATGATGAATTATTTACCAATAAATAAACAGCTGCTGAATAAGAGGTTTGAAAGATATTCATTTTGAAGAGTGAACGAGATGATTCAATAACAGCATGAAAAACAATCTGTATTAACCAATCAAATCAATAAATGTACCACATGAAGGCTCAATAGTTAAAAGAAAGAAGACTAAAGAGTAAACATGTTTATAAGATGTCAAATGAATCCTGATAATTAAAAAGATTATCATCAGGATGTGATAAATAAATGTAAAGAAAACAATGACACACCTTTTCTTTTTGGACTTTAGTGAGTTTCAAAGTTGTCGTCCAGTATTCCAGTGTTTGGAACGGATTGATTTCTGAATATTTGAGTTGAAGGTTTCCTTAAAGTCACTCTGTTGGTTTATGAGCTGAATCCATGTCATAACATAACATCTCATTAGACAGAGTTTAAGAAACAACTCTGTATTTGACCTTTCTGAGTCCTCCAACACTTTTGAAAGAATTACATTTAGTGAAAGTTTAGAGAAATCTACATTTGATCTTCTTTATTGCATCATTATTTGTGTGTAGATTACCAAAGTGTTTTGTTTTCTGCTCATTTGTGTTTATTTGTAAGCTTTGAGTAGATACACTCTGTCAGTAATTCATGTCTCGTTTCTGATGCTGACTTAACAAAGTTTTCAACTTTCATTTCAGTTTCTCTGACTGGTTTAAAAGAGGAGTCGAGTTGTGTGGACGTCTGTTCTGTGCAGCAGCAGAGAGAGAACAGCAGACAGGAGAGAACACACTGCAGCTGTTATCATCAGTGTGCACATATGAAACATTTCCTATCAGTGGCCGATACATTCATGATGATGTCAAGAAACATCAGTGTTCATTCCTTCTGGATCTGTACTCCCACATGAAGGACTGTGAGACTAAAACAGGCTTGAGAGTTCTTCCATCAGTACAGTCAGTTTTCCATTCAGCTCCTGCTGTCTGGTACATTGACCTCTCAAAGAGAAAGACCTCCATCCTCCTGGAAGTGCTGAGACTCCGTCCAGAGAAGACTCCAGTGGAGCTGACCGGCTGTCCAGATGAAGAGAGTGAAGTGAGGAGCTTCCTTCAGTGTCTGCCTCATATCTCACAGCTCAGGTAAATGAATTACTCTTCACACCACAGTGTACACCTGTTAAGGTTTGCTCCTCCATCTGAATCCTCTCACTGTAAGATTGAATTATCCAATAACACATGATGATGAAATGTGTAACATACTCCCAGAAATCCTAATTTATCTGAACAACTGCTTTCTGAAGTTTTTAAAAGTATAGAATGAAACAGGTCCAAACTTGTGATGGTCTATTTCAGTCTTTGGAGCTAATTGATGATGAATTATTTACCAGTAAATAAACAGCTGCTGAATTAGAGGTTTGAAAGATATTCATTTTGAAGAGTGAACGAGATGATTCAATAACAGCATGAAAAACAATCTGTATTAACCAATCAAATCAATAAATGTACCACATGAAGGCTCAATAGTTTAAAAGAAAGAAGACTAAAGAGTAAACATGTTTATAAGATGTCAAATGAATCCTGATGATTAAAAAGATTATCATCAGGATGTGATAAATAAATGTAAAGAAAACAATGACACACCTTTTCTTTTTGGACTTTAGTGAGTTTCAAAGTTGTCGTCCAGTATTCCAGTGTTTGGAACGGATTGATTTCTGAATATTTGAGTTGAAGGTTTCCTTAAAGTCACTCTGTTGGTTTATGAGCTGAATCCATGTCATAACATAACATCTCATTAGACAGAGTTTAAGAAACAACTCTGTATTTGACCTTTCTGAGTCCTCCAACACTTTTGAAAGAATTACATTTAGTGAAAGTTTAGAGAAATCTACATTTGATCTTCTTTATTGCATCATTATTTGTGTGTAGATTACCAAAGTGTTTTGTTTTCTGCTCATTTGTGTTTATTTGTAAGCTTTGAGTAGATACACTCTGTCAGTAATTCATGTCTCGTTTCTGATGCTGACTTAACAAAGTTTTCAACTTTCGTTTCAGTTTCTCTTACTGGTTTAAAAGAGGAGTCGAGTTGTGTGGACGTCTGTTCTGTGCAGCAGCAGAGAGAGAACAGCAGACAGGAGAGAACACACTGCAGCTGTTATCATCACTCTGCACATATGAAACATTTCCCTTCATTGATAAAGAGGAATGTGACGATAATGAAGAATATCAGTGTTCATTCCTTCTGGATCTGTACTCCCACATGAAGGACTGTGAGACTAAAACAGGCTTGAGAGTTCTTCCATCATTACAGTCAGTTTTCCAGTCAGCTCCTGATGTCTGGTACATTGACCTCTCAAAGAGAAAGACCTCCATCCTCCTGGAAGTGCTGAGACTTCGTCCAGAGAAGACTCCAGTGGAGCTGACGGGCTGTCCAGATGAAGAGAGTGAAGTGAGGAGCTTCCTTCAGTGTCTGCCTCATATCTCACAGCTCAGGTAAATGAATTACTCTTCACACCACAGTGTACACCTGTTAAGGTTTGCTCCTCCATCTGAATCCTCTCACTGTAAGATTGAATTATCCAATAACACATGATGATGAAATGTGTAACATACTCCCAGAAATCCTAATTTAGCTGAACAACTGCTTTCTGAAGTTTTTAAAAGTATAGAATGAAACAGGTCCAAACTTGTGATGGTCTATTTCAGTCTTTGGAGCTAATTGATGATGAATTATTTACCAATAAATAAACAGCTGCTGAATAAGAGGTTTGAAAGATATTTCATTTTGAAGAGTGAACGAGATGATTCAATAACAGCATGAAAAACAATCTGTATTAACCAATCAAATCAATAAATGTACCACATGAAGGCTCAATAGTTTAAAAGAAAGAAGACTACATAGCAAACATGTTTATAAGATGTCAAATGAATCCTGATGATTAAGAAGATTATCATCAGGATGTGATAAATAAATGTAAAGAAAACAATGACACACCTTTTCTTTTTGGACTTTAGTGAGTTTCAAAGTTGTCGTCCAGTATTCCAGTGTTTGGAACGGATTGATTTCTGAATATTTGAGTTGAAGGTTTCCTTAAAGTCACTCTGTTGGTTTATGAGCTGAATCCATGTCATAACATAACATCTCATTAGACAGAGTTTAAGAAACAACTCTGTATTTGACCTTTCTGAGTCCTCCAACACTTTTGAAAGAATTACATTTAGTGAAAGTTTAGAGAAATCTACATTTGATCTTCTTTATTGCATCATTATTTGTGTGTAGATTACCAAAGTGTTTTGTTTTCTGCTCATTTGTGTTTATTTGTAAGCTTTGAGTAGATACACTCTGTCAGTAATTCATGTCTCGTTTCTGATGCTGACTTAACAAAGTTTTCAACTTTCATTTCAGTTTCTCTGAGGGTTAAAAGAGGAGTCGAGTTGTGTGGACGTCTGTTCTGTGCAGCAGCAGAGAGAGAACAGCAGACAGGAGAGAACACACTGCAGCTGTTATCATCAGTGTGCATATGAAGCATTCTCCTACCTTGACGAGCCGGATTCTTTCTGGATCTGTGCTCCCACATGAAGGACTATGAGACTAAAACAGGCTTGAGAGTTCTTCCATCATTACAGTCAGTTTTCCAGTCAGCTCCTGATGTCTGGTACATTGACCTCTCAAAGAGAAAGACCTCCATCCTCCTGGAAGTGCTGAGACTCCGTCCAGAGAAGACTCCAGTGGAGCTGACGGGCTGTCCAGATGAAGAGAGTGAAGTGAGGAGCTTCCTTCAGTGTCTGCCTCATATCTCACAGCTCAGGTAAATGAATTACTCTTCACACCACAGTGTACACCTGTTAAGGTTTGCTCCTCCATCTGAATCCTCTCACTGTAAGATTGAATTATCCAATAACACATGATGATGAAATGTGTAACATACTCCCAGAAATCCTAATTTAGCTGAACAACTGCTTTCTGACGTTTTTAAAAATATAGAATGAAACAGGTCCAAACTTGTGATGGTCTATTTCAGTCTTTGGAGCTAATTGATGATGAATTATTTACCAATAAATAAACAGCTGCTGAATTAGAGGTTTGAAAGATTTTCATTTTGAAGAGTGAACGAGATGATTCAATAACAGCATGAAAAACAATCTGTATTAACCAATCAAATCAATAAATGTACCACATGAAGGCTCAATAGTTTAAAAGAAAGAAGACTAAAGAGCAAACATGTTTATAAGATGTCAAATGAATCCTGATGATTAAGAAGATTATCATCAGGATGTGATAAATAAATGTAAAGAAAACAATGACACACCTTTTCTTTTTGGACTTTAGTGAGTTTCAAAGTTGTCGTCCAGTATTCCAGTGTTTGGAACGGATTGATTTCTGAATATTTGAGTTGAAGGTTTCCTTAAAGTCACTCTGTTGGTTTATGAGCTGAATCCATGTCATAACATAACATCTCATTAGACAGAGTTTAAGAAACAACTCTGTATTTGACCTTTCTGAGTCCTCCAACACTTTTGAAAGAATTACATTCAGTGAAAGTTTAGAGAAATCTACATTTGATCTTCTTTATTGCATCATTATTTTGTGTAGATTACCAAAGTGTTTTGTTTTCTGCTCATTTGTGTTTATTTGTAAGCTTTGAGTAGATACACTCTGTCAGTAATTCATGTCTCGTTCTGATGCTGACTTAACAAAGTTTTCAACTTTCATTTCAGTTTCTCTGAGGGTTAAAAGAGGAGTCGAGTTGTGTGGACGTCTGTTCTGTGCAGCAGCAGAGAGAGAACAGCAGACAGGAGAGAACAACAACTGCAGCTGTTATCATCACTGTGCACATATGAAACATTTCCTATCAGTGGCCGATACATTCATGATGACACCGAAATATCAGTGTTCATTCCTTCTGGATTGTGCTCCCACATGAAGGACTGTGAGACTAAAACAGGCTTGAGAGTTCTCCATCATTACAGTCAGTTTTCCAGTCAGCTCTGCTGTCTGGTACATTGACCTCTCAAAGAGAAAGACCTCCATCCTCCTGGAAGTGCTGAGACTCCGTCCAGAGAAGACTCCAGTGGAGCTGACGGGCTGTCCAGATGAAGAGAGTGAAGTGAGGAGCTTCCTTCAGTGTCTGCCTCATATCTCACAGCTCAGGTAAATGACTCTTCACACCACAGTGTACACCTGTTAAGGTTTGCTCCTCCATCTGAATCCTCTC